TGGTAAGGAATTTGGATGTTATGCTCGGGGGCCTGGACCCACTAGCAAAGTATTCTACAATGTGTGACACAGTTTTATGGTTTTTTGGAAAATACAAAGTGATTTTTTATTTGCATGAATGAATCGTTTTCTGATTTAAAATGAATTGAAATAACACATAAAACTATGAAGAACAGTTGTGCACCCGAATTCATGGGTTGGTACGATCTCCTTTACGTAAGTCTTCATAATGATGTACAGTGGCAATAAAATGTGTCCACGAACACATTCACGAGGATGAACAGGTAACGGGTATTGGGATACATTCCTGGCGATGTATCTCATGATGCCTTTAGCAGGCCATCCGATAGACGCGGAATCGTTCCTGTCAGATGCACCACAATATTCAAATTTCACATTTCAAGTACTATTTCTCAGAGCCAAAAAAAAATGAAGTCTGGAAATCAACCCCCCCCTTTTAGAGCCCATAAAATCCTGACTTCCCGCCCACGCAAAGCCACGAGCTATCATGTCCAAGTTAGTCCAACTTCGTTTTTTTCCTTCTTTTTCGACGCATCTCATTGGATGGGAGGTGGGCATCTTTACAGTCCCCGCTCGGAAACTACCAGGCCGTCGAGATCCGATCTATTCGACGGCCGTACTGAGTCACTCGATGCCACACGTGATCAAAATCCTGAACAGCGTGGTAGAATACCTTGCTAGTGGGTCCAGGCCCCTGGGGTCCAGGGGATTGACTGAGCAGGATGTTGGAGAGAGGGGGGAGAACCTCTTCACCCTGAACCTGGCACCAGATACCTGCTGCTACACCCTGGTTCCTCCCACCCCCTACCTTTGAGATATACCTTCTATTGAAGCTGCTGGCCCACTCATACCGCTCCATCCCATTGCATGTCTACCACCTGCTGGAAACCGGGTCCAGCGTCCCTCTTAAGCAAAACATGAGATGAGTTGCAAAAGAACACAGGTGCTGGAAACCGGGTCCAGCGTCCCATCACTTTCTTTTTTTGAAAGACACCCCCTGCAGTGCTAGCGGCACTGGTGGAAGCAGACACCACTAGCACCCAAGAGTGACTCAACTAGGGGATTAGCTATGCAGGGGTTTGAAAGCCCTTCATACCTCCGTTGCTTCCATGTGCTGGTTATTTGCCCGCTGCTTCCTTGCTCAGGCTTGTCTGGCCTTAGTCCTGCGTGAAGCCTTTCTCATTCTACACCATACCATTGCATGTCGACCATCGCCAGTTGGTGGGGTGGAAATGGGTCGGGGAAATCTGTAGGTGGTCGCAGTGGAATCTCCTGTCCCACCGTAGTCCAGTCTCTGAAGTTGGAGTAATCTCTTCTGAACTCCTCCTGGTCGCCTTCCTGGGCAGGCTTGCCGTCCCATCGGACGAGTGCGATCCAGCCCCCGTTCTCATTGCCCAACCAGTCCCCGGAAAACTGTTGAATTGCTTGTGTTATGTCCTTCGATGTATGAAACAGCTCAAGTTGTTTTTTTACTTTTTGCCACTGTACTCTGAGTTCTTGTTGGATATATTGTTTTATCATGTCTGTTACCTCTTCCCCGGCTATGCGGACCCCCTCTATTTCATGGATACAACGTTTTCTCCAAAGGGTCCACATGACTGCTCTCCTTCCTAACTTGAACATATTGTTTTCAAAGACATTGTCGGTGGGGGAGGACCATGTTTCACATAGTATTGCTCTCCAGTCCCATGGCCAGTTGGAGCCGGTGGCCAACTTTGACCAGATTCTGTCCCACCATCGCCAAAGCTCTGGACGTGATTGCGGTCAGATTTGTGCAGGTCTGACCGTGATTGCTGTCAGATGTGTTTGGGTATGCTCTTAGGGCATCGCCACACCACTCTCGAAAGGTGCAAAATGGGAATGAACTTCCCGCTAGAACATGGCCGACATTTTTGTCTTTTTAACATTTCGAGAGTGGTGTGGCAAGGTCCTTAGTGTCGATATATATGCTCAGGGCACGCTTATGCTAGGAGTTGCTTGGATGCAACTGAGAGCAACTACAGCCAGAGCAGAATGTAACAACGCCGTGATTCCGTCCAGAGGTGATTCGAGAAGGTCCTAGTGTGAGTATGCCCTCAGAGGAGCAACCTCCATACCTGAAATCGTGAAGAACCAAAGCAGGTCCCACTTGCGTGGATGACACACATAAATCCTGAAATAGCCCAAATTTGGTTTGTTCCTGGTGTGAGTATGCCCTCAGAAGAGCAACCCCCATACCTGAAATCGTGATGATCCAAGGC